AGTCTGTGCGTCTCTACAGAGCAGTCTGTGCGTCTCTACAGAGCAGTCTGTGCGTCTCTACAGAGCAGTCTGTGCGTCTCTACAGAACAGTCCGTGCGTCTCTACTGAACAGTCTGTGCGTCTCTACAGAGCAGTCTGTGCGTCTCTACAGAGCAGTCTGTGCGTCTCTACAAAACAGTCCGTGCGTCTCTACAGAACAGTCTGTGCGTCTCTACAGAGCAGTCCGTGCGTCTCTACAGAGCAGTCCGTGCGTCTCTACAGAGCAGTCCGTGCGTCTCTACAGAGCAGTCCGTGTGTCTCTACAGAACAGTCTGTGCGTCTCTACAGAGCAGTCTGTGCGTCTCTACAGAGCAGTCCGTGCGTCTCTACAGAACAGTCCGTGCGTCTCTACAGAACAGTCCGTGCGTCTCTACAGAGCAGTCTGTGCGTCTCTACAGAGCAGTCCGTGTGTCTCTACAGAACAGTCTGTGCGTCTCTACAGAGCAGTCTGTGCGTCTCTACAGAGCAGTCCGTGTGTCTCTACAGAACAGTCTGTGCGTCTCTACAGAGCAGTCTGTGCGTCTCTACAGAGCAGTCTGTGCGTCTCTACAGAGCAGTCTGTGCGTCTCTACAGAGCAGTCTGTGCGTCTCTACAGAACAGTCCGTGCGTCTCTACAGAACAGTCCGTGCGTCTCTACAGAACAGTCTGTGCGTCTCTACAGAACAGTCCGTGCGTCTCTACAGAACAGTCCGTGTGTCTCTACAGAACAGTCCGTGCGTCTCTACAGAACAGTCTGTGTGTCTCTACAGAACAGTCCGTGCGTCTCTACAGAGCAGTCCGTGCGTCTCTACAGAGCAGTCTGTGCGTCTCTACAGAGCAGTCTGTGCGTCTCTACAGAGCAGTCTGTGCGTCTCTACAGAGCAGTCTGTGCGTCTCTACAGAGCAGTCCGTGCATGCATTCCGAGACGTACATTAATTTCGACGCTCGAACGCGCGTCATGATTGACTTTGCATTGAAAGTCGACGCAGCATGATCCGGTCTGAACGCTGCATAAAAACAACAGTGACAAAGCTGATTGGCTGAACTACAGTCTATGATCTAAACTACAGTCGTAGTTTAGATCAGACTGTAGTTTAGATCAGACTGTAGTTTAGATCATAGACTCTAGTTTAGATCAGACTGTAGTTTAGATCAGACTGTAGTTTAGATCAGACTGTAGTTTAGATCAGACTGTAGTTTAGATCAGACTGTAGTTTAGATCATAGACTGTAGTTTAGATCATAGACTGTAGTTTAGATCATAGACTGTAGTTTAGATCATAGACTGTAGTTTAGATCAGACTGTAGTTTAGATCAGACTGTAGTTTAGATCAGACTGTAGTTTAGATCAGACTGTAGTTTAGATCATAGACTGTAGTTTAGATCATAGACTGTAGTTTAGATCAGACTGTAGTTTAGATCATAGACTGTAGTATAGATCAGACTGTAGTTTAGATCAGACTGTAGTTTAGATCAGACTGTAGTTTAGATCAGACTGTAGTTTAGATCAGACTGTAGTTTAGATCATAGACTGTAGTTTAGATCATAGACTGTAGTTTAGATCATAGACCGTAGTTTAGATCAGACCGTAGTTTAGATCAGACTGTAGTTTAGATCATAGACTGTAGTTTAGATCAGACTGTAGTTTAGATCAGACTGTAGTTTAGATCAGACTGTAGTTTAGATCAGACTGTAGTTTAGATCAGACTGTAGTTTAGACCATAGACTGTAGTTTAGACCAGACTGTAGTTTAGATCAGACTGTAGTTTAGATCAGACTGTAGTTTAGATCAGACTGTAGTTTAGATCAGACTGTAGTTTAGATCAGACTGTAGTTTAGATCATAGACTGTAGTTTAGATCATAGACTGTAGTTTAGATCAGACTGTAGTTTAGATCAGACTGTAGTTTAGATCAGACTGTAGTTTAGATCAGACTGTAGTTTAGATCATAGACCGTAGTTTAGATCAGACTGTAGTTTAGATCAGACTGTAGTTTAGATCATAGACTGTAGTTTAGATCAGACTGTAGTTTAGATCAGACTGTAGTTTAGATCATAGACTGTAGTTTAGATCAGACTGTAGTTTAGATCAGACTGTAGTTTAGATCAGACTGTAGTTTAGATCAGACTGTAGTTTAGATCAGACTGTAGTTTAGATCAAACTGTAGTTTAGATCAGACTGTAGTTTAGATCAGACTGTAGTTTAGATCATAGACTGTAGTTTAGATCAGACTGTAGTTTAGATCAGACTGTAGTTTAGATCAGACTGTAGTTTAGATCATAGACTGTAGTTTAGATCAGACTGTAGTTTAGATCAGACTGTAGTTTAGATCAGACTGTAGTTTAGTTTAGTAAAACATTTGAGTGTGAAAAGGGCCAACCGCCAACAACGGACTGACTATAGACACAACATCAATCCAAACTCTCACACATACATGATATATAATATATAACATTACATACCATATTTACAGTCTATGGTCTAACCATATTTACAGTCTATGGTCTAACCATATTTACAGTCTTTGGTCTAACCATATTTACAGTCTATGGTCTAACCATATTTACAGTCTACGGTCTAACCATATTTACAGTCTAACCATATTTACAGTCTATGGTCTAACCATATTTACAGTCTATGGTCTAACCATATTTACAGTCTATGGTCTAACCATATTTACAGTCTATGGTCTAACCATATTTACAGTCTATGGTCTAACCATATTTACAGTCTATGGTCTAACCATATTTACAGTCTAACCATATTTACAGTCTATGGTCTAACCATATTTACAGTCTATGGTCTAACCATATTTACAGTCTATGGTCTAACCATATTTACAGTCTATGCTTTCATAGTTATGTCTTGATACTTGTGGTAAAACAATAAGGACTAATGAACACTGCAAACTTGATTCCAGTGTCATTCTCGCATCGTTGCAATATCCTTACCTTATACCAGAATGTGCAATACACAGCTACCAATATACAGATGTAAACATACTGCTGCTAATGTACAGATGTAAACATACTGCTGCTAATGTACAGATGTAAACATACTGCTGCTAATGTACAGATGTAAACATACTGCTGCTAATATACAGATGTAAACATACTGCTGCTAATGTACAGATGTAAACATACTGCTGCTAATGTACAGATGTAAACATACTGCTGCTAATGTACAGATGTAAACATACTGCTGCTAATATACAGTTGTAAAGATACTGCTGCTAATGTACAGATGTAAACATGGCTACTCGCGGTGATACTCGTGGTAATACCTGGATGTGATGTCACAGTCTGTTTGTGAATTAGGAAATGTTGATTTAAAGTCTTGGGTCTGAGCTCGTGGCGCTGCAGATCTAAAAATACTTCCAGCTCCAGGATCCAGGGGAGCTCTGAGGGGATCCCTAAAAGGCCATGCCCCCCCAGGCCTGGCCCCCCCCACCTGCAGCCGGACTATTCCTGTCACAGAGACCCAGGCCGAGTCCGGCTCAGGCTCAGAGACTGGTTCTGGAGTAACACCCAGTCGTCCACCACTCTCACTGTACCCATAATGCACCGCGGCACTGGGGGCTTCTGCACATGTTATTCCACTGGGGTTTTACTGCAGACACTCATAGACTGAATATAACGAGATGAAACGGTTTAGTGTTTGGACCTGAGCCCGACCTGAACCACTCTTCACCAAAACACCAGCATCAAGATCTGACCGAGACCAAGACCTGACCAAGACCTGACCAAGACCTGACCAAGACCTGACCAAGACCAACACCTGACGAAGACCAAGACCAAGACCTGACCAAGACCAAGACCAAGACCTGACCAAGACCTGACCAAGACCAAGACCTGACCAAGACCTGACCAAGACCAAGACCAACACCTGACCAAGACCAAGACCTGACCAAGACCTGACCAAGACCCATCACAGTCCTCACACACTTCATCTGAACTGAAGACGGAGCAGACAATCTGTGTGTGTCTCATGTGTGTGGGTGTCTCTCATACATGTGTGTGTCTCTCATACATGTGTGTGTCTCGTATACACTTGTGGTTCTCATGTGTGTCTCTCTCATACATGCGTGCGTCTCTCATACATGTGTGTGTCTCATGTGTGTCTCTCATAAATGTGTGCGTCTCTCATACAAGTGTGCGTCTCTCGTGTGCGTCTCATGTGCGTCTCTCATACACGTGCGTGTCTCTCATACACGTGCGTGTCTCTCATACACGTGCGTGTCTCTCATACACGTGCGTGTCTCTCATACACGTGCGTGTCTCTCATACACGTGCGTGTCTCTCATACACGTGCGTGTCTCTCATACACGTGCGTGTCTCTCATACACGTGCGTGTCTCTCATACACGTGCGGGTCTCTCATACACGTGCGGGTCTCTCATACACGTGCGGGTCTCTCATACACGTGCGCGTCTCTCATACACGTGCGCGTCTCTCATACACGTGCGGCTCTCTCATACACGTGCGGGTCTCTCATACACGTGCGCGTCTCTCATACACGTGCGCGTCTCTCATACACGTGCGCGTCTCTCATACACGTGCGCGTCTCTCATACACGTGCGCGTCTCTCATACACGTGCGCGTCTCTCATACACGTGCGTGTCTCTCATACACGTGCGTGTCTCTCATACACGTGCGCGTCTCTCATACACGTGCGTGTCTCTCATACACGTGTGGGTCTCTGTGGGTCTCTCGTACACGTGCGTGTCTCTCATACACGTGCGCGTCTCTCATACACGTGCGCGTCTCTCATACACGTGCGTGTCTCTCATACACGTGCGTGTCTCTCATACACGTGCGCGTCTCTCATACACGTGCGCGTCTCTCATACACGTATGTGTGCGTCTCTCATACATGTATGTTTTGTGTGTATCCTCTGGAGAGACTTGTGGGACCAGCTTGGACTATCTACGCCCGGACCATCTACAGTAATCTTTCAGTTATAGAGTTGAAATTGAGGATTACCTGAGTGTCTTTAGTTGCGATCTCTCCGGGGGTCGGCCAACTGTTGGTGTCTCCAAAATCTCCAACCTAAGAACGAGATGCTCATGGTACACTCATGGTACACTCATGGTACACTCATGGTACAGCGTTAAGTCATGGTTCAGAGGGTTAATGGTTCAGGGTCAAGTCGTGGTTCAGAGGGTTCATGGTTCAAAGTTAAGTCATGGTTCAGAGTGTTCATGGTTCAGAGTTAAGTCATGGTTCAGAGGGTTCATGGTTCAGAGGGTTCATGGTTCAGAAGGTTCATGATTCAGAGTTAAGTCATGGTTCAGAGTTAAGTCATGGTTCAGAGGGTTCATGGTTCAGAGTTAAGTCATGGTTCAGAGGGTTCATGGTTCAGAGGGTTCATGGTTCAGAAGGTTCATGATTCAGAGTTAAGTCATGGTTCAGAGTTAAGTCATGGTTCAGAGTTAAGTCATGGTTCAGAGGGTTCATGGTTCAGGGTTAAGTCATGGTTCAGAGTTAAGTCATGGTTCAGAAAGTTCATGGTTAAGTCATGGTTCAGAGGGTTCATGGTTCAGAGTTAAGTCATGGTTCAAAGGGTTCATGGTTAAGTCATGGTTCAGAGTTAAGTCATGGTTCAGAAGGTTCATGGTTAAGTCATGGTTCAGAGTTGAGTCATGGTTCAGAGTTGAGTCATGGTTCAGAGTTGAGTCATGGTTCAGGGTTAAGTCATGGTTCAGAGTTGAGTCATGGTTCAGAGGGTTCATGGTTCAGAGTTAAGTCATGGTTCAGAGTTGAGTCATGGTTCAGAGTTGAGTCATGGTTCAGAGTTAAGTCATGGTTCAGAGGGTTCATGGTTCAGAGTTAAGTCATGGTTCAGAGTTGAGTCATGGTTCAGAGGGTTCATGGTTCAGAGTTAAGTCATGGTTCAGAGGGTTCATGGTTAAGTCATGGTTCAGAGGGTTCATGGTTCAGAGGGTTCATGGTTCAGGGTTAAGTCATGGTTCAGAGGGTTCATGGTTCAGAGTTAAGTCATGGTTCAAAGGGTTCATGGTTAAGTCATGGTTCAGGGTTAAGTCATGGTTCAGGGTTGAGTCATAGTTCAGGGTTAAGTCATGATTCAGGGTTAAGTCATGGTTCAGAGTTAAGTCATGGTTCAGAGTTAAGTCATGGTTCAGAGTTAAGTCATGTTTCAGAGGGTTCATGGTTCAGAGTTTAGTCATGGTTCAGAGGGTTCATGGTTCAGGGTTAAGTCATGGTTCAGAGGGTTCATGGTTCAGGGTTAAGTCATGGTTCAGAGGGTTCATGGTTCAGGGTTAAGTCATGGTTCAGGGTTAAGTCATGGTTCAGAGGGTTCATGGTTCAGAAGGTTCATGGTTCAGAGTTAAGCCATGGTTCAGAGTTAAGCCATGGTTCAGAGTTAAGCCATGGTTCAGAGTTAAGTCATGGTTCAGAGTTAAGTCATGGTTCAGAGTTGAGTCATGGTTCAGAGTTGAGTCATGGTTCAGGGTTAAGTCATGGTTCAGAGTTAAGTCATGGTTCAGAGGGTTCATGGTTCAGAGTTAAGTCATGGTTCAGAGTTGAGTCATGGTTCAAAGGGTTCATGGTTCAGGGTTAAGTCATGGTTCAGAGTTAAGTCATGGTTCAGAGTTAAGTCATGGTTCAGAGTTAAGTCATGGTTCAGAGTTAAGTCATGGTTCAGAGGGTTCATGGTTCAGAGTTAAGTCATGGTTCAAAGGGTTCATGGTTCAGGGTTAAGTCATGGTTCAGAGTTAAGTCATGGTTCAGAGTTAAGTCATGGTTCAGAGTTAAGTCATGGTTCAGAGTTAAGTCATGGTTCAGAGGGTTCATGGTTCAGAGTTAAGTCATGGTTCAAAGGGTTCATGGTTCAGGGTTAAGTCATGGTTCAGAGTTAAGTCATGGTTCAGAGTTAAGTCATGGTTCAGAGTTAAGTCATGGTTCAGAGTTAAGTCATGGTTCAGAGTTAAGTCATGGTTCAGAGTTAAGTCATGGTTCAGAGTTAAGTCATGGTTCAGAGTTAAGTCATGGTTCAGAGTTAAGTCATGGTTCAGAGTTGAGTCATGGTTCAGAGTTAAGTCATGGTTCAGAGTTAAGTCATGGTTCAGAGGGTTCATGGTTCAGAGTTAAGTCATGGTTCAGAGTTAAGTCATGGTTCAGAGTTAAGTCATGGTTCAGAGTTGAGTCATGGTTCAGAGTTAAGTCATGGTTCAGAGTTAAGTCATGGTTCAGAGGGTTCATGGTTCAGAGTTAAGTCATGGTTCAGAGTTAAGTCATGGTTCAGGGTTAAGTCATGGTTCTGAGTTAAGTCATGGTTCAGAGTTAAGTCATGGTTCAGAGGGTTCATGGTTCAGGGTTAGGGTTCATGGTTAAGCGGGTACATGGTTCAGGGTTAGGGTTCATGGTTAAGCGGGTTCATGGTTCAGGGTTAGGGTTCATGGTTAAGCGGGTTCATGGTTCAGGGTTAGGGTTCATGGTTAAGCGGGTTCATGGTTCAGGGTTAGGGGAACCATGACTTATTTGTCTCTGAACGTTTCACGATGAAAAAGACTTTAATTACTACAAACCTTTCCTCCGCGTCTGGTTTTAGGAGGAGCTTTCACCACTTTAGCCGGAGCCGGTTCTGTCAAAGCAGAGAACAGATGATCATTAATATCTTGATATAACAGAGACAGAGGAGACAGAGGAGACAGAGGACACACAGGAGACAGAGGAGACACAGGAGACAGAGGAGACACAGGAGACCGAGGACACAGGAGACAGGAGACAGAGGACACAGAGGAGACAGAGGACACAGGAGACAGAGGACACAGTACACAGGAGACAGAGGACACAGAGGAGACAGAGGAGACACAGGAGACAGAGGAGACACAGGAGACAGAGGACACAGGACACAGGAGACAGAGGACACAGAGGACACAGGAGACAGAGGACACAGAGGAGACAGAGGACACAGGAGACAGAGGACACAGAGGAGACACAGGAGACAGAGGACACAGGAGACACAGGAGACAGAGGACACAGGACACAGAGGAGACAGAGGAGACACAGGAGACAGAGGACACAGGAGACAGAGGACACAGAGGAGACAGAGGACACAGAGGACACCGGAGACAGAGGACACCGGAGACAGAGGACACAGGAGACAGAGGACACAGGAGACACAGGAGACAGAGGACACAGGAGACAGAGGACACAGGAGACAGAGGAGACAGAGGACACAGGAGACACAGGAGACGGAGGACACAGGAGACAGAGGACACAGGAGACAGAGGACACAGGAGACAGAGGACACAGGAGACAGAGGACACAGGAGACAGAGGACACAGAGGAGACAGAGGACACAGAGGACACCGGAGACAGAGGACACCGGAGACAGAGGACACAGGAGACAGAGGACACAGGAGACACAGGAGACAGAGGACACAGGAGACAGAGGACACAGGAGACAGAGGAGACAGAGGACACAGGAGACACAGGAGACGGAGGACACAGGAGACAGAGGACACAGGAGACAGAGGACACAGGAGACAGAGGACACAGGAGACAGAGGAGACAGGAGACAGAGGACACAGGAGACAGAGGACAGAGGACACAGGAGAGAGGACACAGGAGACAGAGGACACAGGAGAGAGGACACAGGAAAGAGAGGACACAGGAGACAGAGGAGACAGAGGACACAGGAGACAGAGGACACAGTGAGACACAGGAGAGAGGACACAGGAGAGAGGAGACAGAGGACACAGGAGAGAGGACACAGAGGACACAGGAGACAGAGGACACAGGAGACAGAGGACACAGTACACAGGAGACAGAGGACACAGAGGAGACAGAGGAGACACAGGAGACAGAGGAGACACAGGAGACAGAGGACACAGGACACAGGAGACAGAGGACACAGAGGACACAGGAGACAGAGGACACAGAGGACACAGGAGACACAGGAGACAGAGGACACAGAGGAGACAGAGGACACAGGAGACAGAGGACACAGAGGACACAGGAGACAGAGGACACAGGAGACACAGGAGACAGGAGAGAGGACACAGGAGACAGAGGACACAGGAGAGAGGACACAGGAAAGAGAGGACACAGGAGACAGAGGAGACAGGACACAGGAGACAGAGGACACAGTGAGACACAGGAGAGAGGACACAGGAGAGAGGAGACAGAGGACACAGGAGAGAGGACACAGAGGACACAGGAGACAGAGGACACAGGAGAGAGGACACAGAGGACACAGGAGACAGAGGAGACAGGACACAGAGAGGACACAGAGGAGACACACAGATAGAGGTGCAACGGTTCATCACTGATCCGTGATCCGTTCGGTACAGACGTGATCCGCGGTTTGATTTATGAAAAAAAGTTGTGTGCACGTTGTTCAGTCCACACTCAGCGTGGTCACGGTGAGCAGAGGAACGGAGAACACACTCAGCGTGGTCACGGCGAGCAGAGGAACGGAGAACACACTCAGCGTGGTCACGGCGAGCAGAGGAACGGAGAACACACTCAGCGTGGTCACGGTGAGCAGAGGAACGGAGAACACACTCAGCGTGGTCACGGTGAGCAGAGGAACGGAGAACACACTCAGCGTGGTCACGGCGAGCAGAGGAACGGAGAACACACTCAGCGTGGTCACGGCGAGCAGAGGAACGGAGAACACACTCAGCGTGGTCACGGTGAGCAGAGGAACGGAGAACACACTCAGCGTGGTCACGGCGAGCAGAGGAACGGAGAACACACTCAGCGTGGTCACGGCGAGCAGAGGAACGGAGAACACACTCAGCGTGGTCACGGTGAGCAGAGGAACGGAGAACACACTCAGCGTGGTCACGGTGAGCAGAGGAACGGAGAACACACTCAGCGTGGTCACGGCGAGCAGAGGAACGGAGAACACACTCAGCGTGGTCACGGCGAGCAGAGGAACGGAGAACACTCAGCGTGGTCACGGCGAGCAGAGGAACGGAGAACACTCAGCGTGGTCACGGCGAGCAGAGGAACGGAGAACACTCAGCGTGGTCACGGCGAGCAGAGGAACGGAGAACACTCAGCGTGGTCACGGCGAGCAGAGGAACGGAGGAGCTTGAAAGCCCCGCCTCATTTAAATCCCAGTATGAGAGCATTTTGGCTTCACTGTAACTACACTGATCATTAGAACCTACTGTATAATAGATCCATGAGCAGAACCTACTGTATAATAGATCCATGAGCAGAACCTACTGTATAATAGATCCATGAGCAGAACCTACTGTATAATAGATCCATGAGCAGAACCTACTGTATAATAGATCCATGAACAGAACCTACTGTATAATAGATCCATGAACAGAACCTACTGTATAATAGATCCATGAGCAGAACCTACTGTATAATAGATCCATGAACAGAACCTACTGTATAATAGATCCATGAACAGAACCTACTGTATAATAGATCCATGAGCAGAACCTACTGTATAATAGATCCATGAGCAGAACCTACTGTATAATAGATCCATGAACAGAACCTACTGTATAATAGATCCATGAACAGAACCTACTGTATAATAGATCCATGAACAGAACCTACTGTATAATAGATCCATGAACAGAACCTACTGTATAATAGATCCATGAGTGGTCATGTACCGAGGGCGGGCCATAGAGGCGCTTGGTCATGTACCGAGGGCGGGCCATAGAGGCGCGTGGTCATGTACCGAGCGCGGACCATAGAGGCGCGTGGTCATGTCCCGAGGGCGGACCATAGAGGCGCGTGGTCATGTACCGAGCGCGGACCATAGAGGCGCGTAGTCATGTACCGAGGGCGGACCATAGAGGCGCTTGGTCATGTACCGAGCGCGGACCATAGAGGCGCGTGGTCATGTACCGAGCGCGGACCATAGAGGCGCTTGGTCATGTACCGAGCGCGGACCATAGAGGCGCTTGGTCATGTACCGAGCGCGGACCATAGAGGCGCGTAGTCATGTACCGAGGGCGGACCATAGAGGCGCGTGGTCATGTACCGAGCGCGGACCATAGAGGCGCGTAGTCATGTACCGAGGGCGGACCATAGAGGCGCGTGGTCATGTACCGAGCGCGGACCATAGAGGCGCGTGGTCATGTACCGAGCGCGGACCATAGAGGCGCGTGGTCATGTACCGAGGGCGGACCATAGAGGCGCTTGGTCATGTACCGAGGGCGGGCCATAGAGGCGCTTGGTCATGTACCGAGCGCGGACCATAGAGGCGCGTAGTCATGTACCGAGGGCGGACCATAGAGGCGCGTAGTCATGTACCGAGGGCGGACCATAGAGGCGCTTGGTCATGTACCGAGCGCGGACCATAGAGGCGCGTAGTCATGTACCGAGGGCGGACCATAGAGGCGCGTGGTCATGTACCGAGCGCGGACCATAGAGGCGCGTGGTCATGTACCGAGCGCGGACCATAGAGGCGCGTGGTCATGTACCGAGGGCGGACCATAGAGGCGCTTGGTCATGTACCGAGGGCGGGCCATAGAGGCGCGTGGTCATGTACCGAGCGCGGACCATAGAGGCGCGTGGTCATGTCCCGAGGGCGGACCATAGAGGCGCGTGGTCATGTACCGAGCACGGACCATAGAGGCGCGTGGTCATGTACCGAGCGCGGACCATAGAGGCGCGTGGTCATGTACCGAGGGCGGACCATAGAGGCGCGTGGTCATGTACCGAGGGCGGGCCATAGAGGCGCGTGGTCATGTACCGAGGGCGGACCATAGAGGCGCGTACCGAGGGCGGACCATAGAGGCGCGTGGTCATGTACCGAGCGCGGACCATAGAGGCGCGTGGTCATGTACCGAGGGCGGACCATAGAGGCGCGTGGTCATGTACCGAGCGCGGACCATAGAGGCGCGTGGTCATGTACCGAGCGCGGACCATAGAGGCGCGTGGTCATGTACCGAGGGCGGACCATAGAGGCGCGTGGTCATGTACCGAGGGCGGACCATAGAGGCGCGTGGTCATGTACCGAGCGCGGACCATAGAGGCGCGTGGTCATGTCCCGAGGGCGGACCATAGAGGCGCGTGGTCATGTACCGAGCGCGGACCATAGAGGCGCGTGGTCATGTACCGAGGGCGGACCATAGAGGCGCGTGGTCATGTACCGAGGGCGGACCATAGAGGCGCGTGGTCATGTACCGAGGGCGGACCATAGAGGCGCGTACCGAGGGCGGACCATAGAGGCGCGTGGTCATGTACCGAGCGGACCATAGAGGCGGTCATGTACCGAGGCGGACCATAGAGGCGCGTGGTCATGTACCGAGGCGGACCATAGAGCGCGGCTGTACGAGGGACCATAGAGGCGCGTGGTCATGTACCGAGGGCGGACCATAGAGGCGCGTGGTCATGTACCGAGGCGGACCTAGAGGCCTAGGCGTGGTCATGTACCGAGGCGGTAACCGTACCGAGCGGCGGACCATAGAGGCGCGTGGTCATGTACCGAGGGCGGACCATAGAGGCGCGTGGTCATGTACCGAGCGCGGACCATAGAGGCGCGTGGTCATGTACCGAGGCGGACCATAGAGGCGCGTGGTCATGTGGGGACCATAGAGGCGTGTCATGTACCGGCGCGGACCATAGAGGCGCGTGGTCATGTACCGAGGGCGGACCATAGAGGCGCGTGGTCATGTACCGAGGCGGACCATAGAGGCGCGTGGTCATGTACCGAGCGCGGACCATAGAGGCGCGTGGTCATGTACCGAGGGCGGACCATAGAGGCGCGTGGTCATGTAGCGCGAGGGCGGACCATAGAGGCGCGTGGTCATGTACCGAGGCGGACCATAGAGGCGCGTGGTCATGTACCGAGCGCGGCCATAGGGCGCTGGTCATGACCATAGAGGCGCGGTCATGTACCGAGGCGGACCATAGAGGCGCGTGGTCATGTACCGAGGGCGGACCATAGAGGCGCGTGGTCATGTACCGAGCGCGGACCATAGAGGGCGCGTGGTCATGTACGAGGCGGACCATAGAGGCGCGTGGTCATGTACCGAGGCGGACCATAGAGGCGCGTGGTCATGTACCGAGGGCGGACCATAGAGGCGCGTGTCAGTACCGAGGCGACCATAGAGGCGCGTGGTCATGTACCGAGGCGGACCATAGAGGCGCGTGGTCATGTACCCGAGCGCGGACCATAGAGGCGCGTGGGTACGAGCGCGGACCATGAGCGCGTGGTCATGTACCGAGCGCGGACCATAGAGGCGCGTGGTCATGTACCGAGGCGGACCATAGAGGCGCGTGCATGACCGGGCGGACCATAGAGGCGCGTGGTCATGTCCGAGGCGGACCATAGAGGCGCGTGGTCATGTACCGAGCGCGGACCATAGAGGCGCGTGGTCATGTACCGAGCGCGGACCATAGAGGCGCGTGGTCATGTACCGAGGCGCGGACCATAGAGGCGCGTGGTCATGTACCGAGGGATAGGCGGTCGCGGACCATAGAGGCGCGTGGTCATGTACCGAGGCGGACCATAGAGGCGCGTGGTCATGTACCGAGGGCGGACCATAGAGGCGCGTGGTCATGTACCGAGCGCGGACCATAGAGCGCGGACCATAGAGGCGCGTGGTCATGTGACATAGAGGCGCGTGTCATGTACCGAGGCGGACCATGTCAGTAGGGCGTGTGAGTCATGTACCGAGGGCGGACCATAGAGGCGCGTGGTCATCGGGTACCGAGCGCGGACATAGAGGCCGTGGTCATGTACCGAGGCGGACCATAGAGGCGCGTACCGAGGCGGACCATAGAGGGCTGTCATGTACCGAGGCGGACTAGAGCGCTGGTCAGTACCGAGGCGGACCATAGAGGCGCGTGGTCAGTACCGAGGCGACCATAGAGGCGCGTGGTCATGACCATAAGGCGCGTGGTCTGTCCGAGGCGGACCATAGAGCATAGAGGCGACCATAGAGGCGCGTGGTCATGTACCGAGGCGGACCATAGAGGCGCGTGGTCATGTACCGAGGGCGGACCATAGAGGCGCGTGGTCATGTACCGAGGCGGACCATAGAGGCGCGTGGTCATGTACCGAGGGCGGACCATAGAGGCGCGTACCGACCGAGGCGGACCATAGAGGCGCGTGGTCATGTACCGAGCGCGGACCATAGAGGCGCGTGGTCATGTACCGAGGGGCGGCCATGAGAGCGCGCTGTACCGAGGGCGGACCATAGAGGCGCGTGGTCATGTACCGAGCGCGGACCATAGAGAGGCGTGGTCATGTCCGAGGGCGGACCATAGAGGCGCGTGGTCATGTACCGAGCGCGGACCATAGAGGCGCGTGGTCATGTACCGAGCGCGAACCATAGAGGCGCGTGGTCATGTCCCGAGGGCGGACCATAGAGGCGCGTGGTCATGTACCGAGCGCGGACCATAGAGGCGCGTGGTCATGTACCGAGCGCGAACCATAGAGGCGCGTGGTCATGTACCGAGGGCGGACCATAGAGGCGCGTGGTCATGTACCGAGGGCGGACCATAGAGGCGCGTGGTCATGTACCGAGGGCGGACCATAGAGGCGCGTGGTCATGTACCGAGCTGCGAGGCGGACCATAGAGGCGCGTGGTCATGTACCGAGGGCGGACCATAGAGGCGCGTGGTCATGTACCGAGGGCGGACCATAGAGGCGCGTGGTCATGTACCGAGGGCGGCCATAGAGGCGCGTGGTCATGTACCGGGCCATAGAGGCGCGTGGTCATGTACCGAGGGCGGACCATAGAGGCGCGTGGTCATGTACCGAGGGCGGACCATAGAGGCGCGTGGTCATGTACCGAGCGCGGACCATAGAGGCGCGTAGTCATGTACCGAGCGCGGACCATAGAGGCGCGTGGTCATGTACCGAGGGCGGACCATAGAGGCGCGTGGTCATGTACCGAGGGCGGGCCATAGAGGCGCGTGGTCATGTACCGAGGGCGGGCCATAGAGGCGCGTGGTCATGTCCCGAGGGCGGACCATAGAGGCGCGTGGTCATGTACCGAGGGCGGGCCATAGAGGCGCGTGGTCATGTCCCGAGGGCGGACCATAGAGGCGCGTGGTCATGTACCGAGGGCGGACCATAGAGGCGCGTGGTCATGTACCGAGGGCGGACCATAGAGGCGCGTGGTCATGTACCGAGGGTGGACCATAGAGGCGCGTGGTCATGTACCGAGGGCGGACCATAGAGGCGCGTGGTCATGTCCCGAGGGCGGACCATAGAGGCGCGTGGTCATGTACCGAGGGCGGACCATAGAGGCGCGTGGTCATGTACCGAGCGCGGACCATAGAGGCGCGTGGTCATGTACCGAGGGCGGACCATAGAGGCGCGTGGTCATGTACCGAGCGCGAACCATAGAGGCGCGTGGTCATGTACCGAGGGCGGACCATAGAGGCGCGTGGTCATGTCCCGAGGGCGGGCCATAGAGGCGCGTGGTCATGTACCGAGGGCGGACCATAGAGGCGCGTGGTCATGTACCGCGGGCGGTCCTTAGTGGCGCGTGGTCATGTACCGAGCGCGGACCATAGAGGCGCGTAGTCATGTACCGAGCGCGGACCATAGAGGCGCGTGGTCATGTACCGAGGGCGGACCATAGAGGCGCGTGGTCATGTACCGAGGGCGGGCCATAGAGGCGCGTGGTCATGTACCGAGGGCGGGCCATAGAGGCGCGTGGTCATGTCCCGAGGGCGGACCATAGAGGCGCGTGGTCATGTACCGAGGGCGGGCCATAGAGGCGCGTGGTCATGTCCCGAGGGCGGACCATAGAGGCGCGTGGTCATGTCCCGAGGGCGGACCATAGAGGCGCGTGGTCATGTCCCGAGGGCGGACCATAGAGGCGCGTGGTCATGTACCGAGGGCGGGCCATAGAGGCGCGCACAGAACCATACACACGCTACAGGACCATCCCCAGGTTGTTGCACGTGAGGGTCTTGTCTGTCTCCCCGTTTCTGCCCAGTCTCTCCCCCATGCCTCCCCCAAGTCTCCCCCAAGTCTCCCCCAAGTCTCCTCCAAGTCTCCTCCAAGTCTCCTGACGAAGCGCAGCCAAAACAGCCACTGAATTAAAGCTCAGGTACCTAAATTTTGTGCATTGAAAATGCATGTTATTTGTGAACCAAAGTAAAATGTGACCAAATCAAACAGAACAAACCAAAACAGTCTTGTTTTTTTACTTAAGAAAGAGCCTTGTGAGTCATTATTTGAGTTTTTGGGCTGCGAGTGGATTTTTAAAATATTTTTTGAAGTTGGCTGAATGACACATGTTTACCATGAGCTGAAGTTGGCTGAATGACACATGTTTACCATGAGCTGAAGTTGGCTGAATGACACATGGCCTGAGTTTGGACATACCAACACGGTCACTACCTGTGGCGGCCGCCATCTTCTGCGTCCTCAGCTCTGCCATCTGTGATTGGACGGAGGCCTGAGCCTCAGTCTGGTCCCAGACCTTTCTGCACAGAGGACGATCTGGGGACAAAAGGCAGATGGATTTAGTTTTCTTTAAGGTTCTACATCTCACACATCTCCATCTCTCATGAACAATAACAGTAGAAAAGACATTAAATCTCCATCTCTCATGAACAATAACAGTAGAAAAGACATTAAATCTCCATCTCTCATGAACAATAACAGTAGAAAAGACATTAAATCTCCATCTCTCATGAACAATAACAGTAGAAAAGACATTAAATCTCCATCTCTCATGAACAATAACAGTAGAAAAGACATTAAATCTCCATCTCTCATGAACAATAACAGTAGAAAAGACATTAAATCTCCATCTCTCATGAACAATAACAGTAGAAAAGACATTAAATCTCCATCTCTCATGAACAATAACAGTAGAAAAGACATTAAATCTCCATCTCTCATGAACAATAACAGTAGAAAAGACATTAAATCTCCATCTCTCATGAACAATAACAGTAGAAAAGACATTAAATCTCCATCTCTCATGAACAATAACAGTAGAAAAGACATTAAATCTCCATCTCTCATGAACAATAACAGTAGAAAAGACATTAAATCTCCATCTCTCATGAACAATAACAGTAGAAAAGACATTAAATCTCCATCTCTCATGAACAATAACAGTAGAAAAGACATTAAATCTCCATCTCTCATGAACAATAACAGTAGAAAAGACATTAAATCTCCATCTCTCATGAACAATAACAGTAGAAAAGACATTAAATCTCCATCTCTCATGAACAATAACAGTAGAAAAGACATTAAATCTCCATCTCTCATGAACAATAACAGTAGAAAAGACATTAAATCTCCATCTCTCATGAACAATAACAGTAGAAAAGACATTAAATCTCCATCTCTCATGAACAATAACAGTAGAAAAGACATTAAATCTCCATCTCTCATGAACAATAACAGTAGAAAAGACATTAAATCTCCATCTCTCATGAACAATAACAGTAGAAAAGACATTAAATCTCCATCTCTCATGAACAATAACAGTAGAAAAGACATTAAATCTCCATCTCTCATGAACAATAACAGTAGAAAAGACATTAAATCT